GGCTTGCCGGACTCGTCCACACCTGCGCCAGGAGCTAAGCGCCGGAAGCAACAGTTGCGTGCATGTCGATTTTTGGCGGATTGAGGGTCGGGTCTGGGCTTCTCCTCTGCAAGGTAAACTCGTCACATTGTCAATGATCCCATGCTGGTCCTACAGGTTCTAAGTGACTTTCGGCCGTTACTTTGCCAGAATGCGATTATCCTGGAGAAGAACAATGCAGCCACAACGGATGCACTGGATGCCACTGTGAGCCACTGTGCCTCTGTCCTGACATAACATCAAACGAAAGAAATCATTTCAAATTCTGTCCTCACCTTGCCTGGGATGAAGCAACATGCTCCTGGCCTAGGCGGGCCTGCTGTTCTGGGGTGTACACCTCATGACGGACGAGAAAACCGCTCAACCGGTCAGTCCAGCAACATTTAATGCACAAGGAAGGGAGACTGTCAACAAATGCTCAGGTTGGAGCCGCGGCAGTCCAGCTGCCCATATCCTTAGTGCCTGCCGGCTTTTCCATCTCTCCTCTTGTCCATGCTGGTCCGATAACCATGGTCTACGCACGACCTCAACACTGCAGGCACTCGCTGTGCCTTGGGCAATGCTTAGATCATGCACAACTTGTCCTCAGTCTGCCTCGACACAGGAGCCCGGCGGCCCTCTGTCTAAGCTGTGTGCCAGCCTATCTGACTTATCTCAAACGCACATTATGACATAGACAACGACGCCTGAAGGTCTCAACCACCGGACAGCAGCCTTCATTTTTGCATCACAATATGAATGCATGGAATTAACGGCTTTGACCAGCTGGGATCATCCGAATGTCCAGCCGGCAAGTTCTTCGAACTGACGCCAGCGCAGTTGTGACACCAATAACCTTGCCATCGCGGAGGCCTTATCTCGGCTTTCCGCTAGAAAGCACAAGGTCTATCTGGGGCAGTGCCTTTGGCAACAGCTCCAGTCAAACCAAATCATGATACTTCTGCTCACAAACAGAAGATGGGCTGACCCACTCTGACCGTTAAGGAAATCTTCGACTGGCCATCTGTGTACGACACCCCGTCGCAGTCGTAGCACATAGCTTCAGCAGGGAAGCGAAACTGGGCATGGTTCGCTCTCTGACGGCGGCTGGCCACCTGCAAGATGGCTGCACAGGAGCGTTCCAACTGTGCAATAGTCTTCTCAAGAGATCCGACCACGCAGCAAGCCTGGCATCAACGAATCATCCACGCCGTAACTCATCCTGGCTGCTGGCGGCAACGTGCAAAATCGAATGTGAGTATTCCGGCTTTCTTACCCTACATGCCGAACTGCTGGGATAGAGCCAAGTCGCGCTTCTGCATCAGGTGCTTCACCGAAGTCCTTGTCCTCGGCAAATGTTGACTGGGCATGAGCGCTTCTGGTAACAAAGAGCGCTGCCTTGTCGTTTTCTAGCAACTCGTCAAGCCTGGCGTTCAACGAACAGTCTGCACTAAGGACATCGCCGCAGTCATAGTCATGATAACGATCATCCTAATATTTCCGGTTGCAGTGGATGCAATATTAGCAATGATGCTGGTGCTAGGCAGCAGCCTAGTGATGCTTCTGCAAAGTGTTCGAAAGAAGGTTAAGGCATTCTGAAAAGCATGACAACACAGCCGCTCTCTCCATGACCGACGACTGTCAACAGCGTCTGACTGGAGCAAATGGTATGTGGTCCTTCATGTCCTTCTTGCATGGGCTGTTAAGACTGCAAGATCAAACCTGCGAGCTTGGTTGCTGCCAAACCAGCCCGGTGTGCGACAAGATCTTCTCCTGCACGCTCTCTTAAGGCACACTCACGGATGCTGGATCCTTTTTTCCGTGAGTTATCAGCACACTCATGGGTTTTGAGCACAGTGGTAACAGGAACAGCGCCGACCTCGGCTTGACTGCGATCGGTCTTCGTTTTCTTGATGACGAAATCCTTCATCCCTGTCCTGGCCACGGCGAGAAAGCGCGCCGTGACGGGCCGACGGGCCCGGGTGACCCCGGCCTTGGAACTTTCTTCCAGCCAGTGGGATCTTGCCGGCACCTCCGCCACATGTCCAGGATCTCCTGCTCAGACAAATGAGAGCCGAGGTGCTGCCGTTCAGGCTTGGCCTCGTCACCTTTTCTTCCGGGACACCCAAGGGAGCAAATAGCGCCCCTGGCAGCCTGTCAGGGCACTTGAGAAAGCGTACGGGCTCTGCGTCCAGCAGCCGTGCCGATTCTCAACCTTCAGCATGCCTCACCCAAAGGGTGTGCAGGTGGCAAGTGCATTGGTCGGCTCGGAGGAAAGGAAAAAGCATGCTCGGGCTTTTCCATGAACCTGGCCGAATGTGGAGTGAGGTGACCAACACGGCAATTGCTAGGCGGGGCAGACCCTTCTTCCTGTCCCAGCCTTACGACAAGTCAGACATCTTCCAATATTAACGAAGATTCCGAAAGCCCTGAGAGCTGTGCGCTTGATACGCTCGCTTTGTCTCCAAGCGCCTGACCCACGTCGCATGAGTCGCGACACTTCGAAATCAGGAGCTATGGCTCGGTGCCGCGCGCAGCGTACTCTTCATTCCACCTGATACACTCCTGCTCCCAGTTCGCTATGGCTGGTAGCCTGGAGCAGCCGACTCTGTCCCTCTCAACTTCTCAACTCACGAAGCCTCAAGGATTGCCAAGCAACAGGAAGTATCTTCTCGCCCGGAGCTCGTTCTCCACGAACGTTAGCCGAACCGCCTGGCAAGAATGAGATCCGGCTTTAGATTTCCGTGTCCATCCGGAAAACAAGCTCTCCGCAAACCTTCGGCGTAAGCTCCATGGCTATCTTGTCTTCTAAGGTCAAACACGCCTTCGAAATAGGCAAGAGCGCGACGTGGCTGCTGTAAACAGTCAGAGATTCGGAAAACTTCAGCCCGGCGCATTGGAGTTTCGTTGCCCAGCAGGACGCTCCCACTGGCAAGCACACAGCGTAAAAATGCCAGCTAACACTCCAGCACAGCAAACCCAAAGTCGTGCCCTCCGTCCCTGGCTTGTAATTTTTCTCAGGGAGACCTTTGAAAGTTCCTGGGTCAGCTCGTGACGCTCCAGTTTCTCCCAGCCTTCAACAGCAGGCATTATCAAGCTTAGCACGGCGTGTAAAGTCTGCTGGCCATCGCCCCATCGCGAACAGCAGCTTTCAGTTGACCATCCTACATTCTGGCCGACTCTGTAAGCAACAAGACCAAACCCAGATGACAAACGAGCCCAGTGCCGTGAGCAATGCAAGCAAGGCCTATGTTGCGTGAAGATACCCTGAATAGCATGCATTGGCATGTCATACGACATGTGAACAATACCTGTTCAGGGGTGCATAGCCTGTTGATGTGGCTTCTCTCTAGGACCCAGGCGTTGTGCAATCTTCTCCCGCTGTTCTCGAAGGCGCCTTGCAACCGTCTGGCACTCGACGAAAAGTCGCGGTGACAGAGACGGTCTTGCAACAGAAGCGGCAATTTAGCAATGTAGGCACAGTCCGCTCAAGAAACACTAGCAGCGTACGGCAAAAGGGCTCCGACGCTGAGCATGCTCTCCAAAATCTTTGAATCTTTCTCGCCTGCCGATTTGACTTGACATATGCTGACACAGCAACGTAGGAAACTCCCTGCAACTCGACTTGCTAGGTGTTTGGGCAACATGCCTGGAACGCAACATTCCTCGGAACACTCGCAAGTCTTAAAGGGCATGCATCGAATGGCCGGAAGACAAGCAACTTCCTATGCAGTGTTGCAGCCCCTGACGGATTCTGCCCGCTTTCTTTATGCTGGTAGAACACTGCTTCTCGCCGTCTCGTGTAATGTGCCAGTGTGCCAGAGAGAGAGGGGCGAGGGAGAGAGAGAGAGAGAGAGAGAGACAGAGACAGAGAGACCATCTGCGATCGACATGCGAAGCTGCTACTCAGCTGAAGTGCAGGCAACGGCATTCTGAGATTCTGGAGTCAAAGCTAAGCAAACAAATTGTAGTCTTGGCCCTAGGACTTCAGGGCGAAGATGACGCGACCAGCCACCTGCCAACCCATGACCACAGCAGCGAATTTCGAATTTATGACAGCTTCATCTCTGAGGCAAACGACAAAGCCGGCCTGCCAGCTTCGCAAAGCTTGATAGACCTTCAGCGGATCCGCACTAGACCAACGGGACATGGTTTTCTGGAGTCCATCGCGCGAGTGTCTTGTCTGGGTCGCGGACTTTCTTTGCATTGGCTTTGGCTTTGGTAATGTTTCTCTTCATCTGACATGCATTTACGGATTAGGAGTGGCAAACACGTCCCTTTGAGGCTGGGACTTCAACCAAAGGCGTTTAGACAGCTTGCATTGTAGAAGATGTCACAATTCAATGCCTCGCCTTCATGGAAGCCACGTAGCTGGTGAACAACCTGCCCGCACTGAATCGCGTGCAACCCTCATCAGACACGCGACGACTGAGAGGCTGAGAATCTTCGCTGCCCTGCTGCACCCGCAAGCTCAAGTTACTGTACCATGTCAGAGCGCTGTCGCAGCATCGGCTGCCGGAGTTGGACGTTCGGCTGTGAACTACTATCATTATCTGGAAACGAGTTGGCAGAAGGCCTGCCTGAGAAGGACACAGATCAGGATACCCTACCGGACAAGTGCTGGAACCGCAATACCTGAGCCCAGTGAGCCTCCTTGTAGGCAACACAAGGATCACGATGCTCTGCAGGGAAGATGAACGCGGATGGATGCAGGAGACAAGCAGTTCTACATGCAGTTTATCAGTTGCGCTCTGATCGGCGAGGTAGCAATTGATACTGCACGCTTTCGGCTGTGAATCTAACCTCCGAACGGTCTCGAACGATGATGCTTGGATTGTGTGCGTGAGGCGCAAGGCAACGATACAGTGTCGCAGTTTGGAAAGTCAACAGCTCGATCGGCCAAAAGGCAAGAAGTGAAAAAAGACAGGTGCTGGCTGACCTTGACACAGCGGGGCTCTGGACCACAGTCTCCATCCTCAGGGCCTGGGGAGCCATGGTCTGTTTCCGACTCCAGAGAGCAAAAACTGGTCAACCTAACAGCATACTGCGCAGCCTCCTTCATCTGCCCGGCCGTGAGCCTAGACCTCTCGCACAGCTCCAACGTCTGTGTGCATATTTGTGGTGAGCAGCTCTTGATCCCTAAGCTTTGCGCCTCTTCACCAAGAGGTTGTCTGAGTTTTCCCTCAAGTACTCGACGCCTTAAGACAAATGCCCACTATCCATTGTCCGAAGATCTACACAGCGAGTTCTTCCGTCGTCGTACCATCGATCGAGCACCGCACGTTCCAGTACCGGAACCTTCCTTTGCTTTTGATCCTGTGCAGATCGACTCTGCCGATGACAATCGATGCTCTTCGAGCAAAGCTGTCGTGTCCTGCTGAATCTGCCGCAAAAAGCCAGCAGCCCAAATGAGCCTGAAGATCGGAGCACGTGGTGCCCATACATGTCCGAGATGTCTGTGCTCTTGAGTGGCCGACGTAAACCACTTTGCTGCCGGAAAATCCCTGTTTACAGCACAAGCTTTTGCTCAGCGTGCTTCAAAGCGTCGTGGCACTGTGCTGCGCGAAGGAATGTGTAGCGCGCCTGCTTTCGGATTTCAGCTTTGCTTGCAGCTTGCGGCTCTCCACCTTTTAGGATTCAAGGCGCAAAACTCGGGCGAGAATGGGCTCTGTGAGAGATGGACTGGGCTGACTCGGCACGCTGCCGTTTGCTTGGCCTGTTCTTCCTTGCGAACGAGCTCCTGCCCACCAGAGCCACGAAGATCTCATCAGCAATGCCACTCCAGGCTCTGAACCTCCTTCAGCGAATCTGCAGCTTCCTGAGAAGGAAGCATAACAAACGCCTCGGTCAGCCTCTCGAACCGAGTGCCTCCACCATCCGCTCGCGTTGAGTTTGGTACAAGCGTCGACGGTAGGATCTTTCCTCTCAGAAAATTCTCTCCAACGGATCGTCCGGCCGGGCTACTTTCAAGGCTCCGGAAAGGCCTCCGCAAATGCCGCGATTCGCTCTTTGCGATTCGCCGGCAACCATATCCGAATGGCCTCGGCCGCTTGGTGTGCAGAACTCGCTAAGCAGCACCCCAGCTCTTTCAGCGAGCCTCGGGAGTGGTGTTGCGAACGACCAGAGTCTGAGAGGGCTTCCTTGCTGCAGGCCAAACTGCAGTTGCGGGCAGGGGAAGCTTGAGTCTCTCTTGTTCTCAGGCTTGGCACCGCGGGGCGAGACCACTTGAAGCCAAGGGAGCCTCGGAACGAAACGGAAACTATGCCAACTGGCGGCATCTGGTTCTTGAAGAGGAAGTGCTGCCTATCCCAAAGGATCAGGACAGCAAGACAAAGAGAGTCAAGGACATGACAAAGAACTAAAAAAAACACATGAGCTTGACGATGTATCTTTCAGACCACGGACAAACACAAACTCCGAACCGTAAAACTCAATCCTAGACGTGCAAAACCCGAAATGCAATCAGCAACCCCAAGCCCCAAAGCCCAGACAATTGTAACTTCTACTCGAGATCCTGACAAAAACCGTGATTCAAAAGCCGCAAACATGAATCTCCAAATTCACAACTGAATGCCCCAATGAGCTGGAAGCTTTCAAGCCCTGTAGCCTAAAGCAGGAAACCTTAAATCTAAACAAACCCAACGCCGACCCTGCCAACCCCGATGTCTTTACCCTGTCAGATTTCGGCATGCAGAAGTTTGGTCAGATCCTTGCGGCCGCCGCCCCAAAGTTTAACAGCACACACCGCTGATTCTACAACCCCAGCCCTAAAATCAAAAGCCTGCAATCACAAGTCCTCAACCCGCCCCTGCGTTGAACCCGGCAAACGTTCTTCATTTGCTGGTTTCTGGAGGCCTGATAAAAGCTCGGTCGCATGCCAATGGAGGCAGCTCCGGCTCGATGCGACGGCAGAATTTGTAGGCCTGGCGGCGTGCGCGCGGGGCGCTCTCCCTGCCTTCCCTGCGCAGCGCTGCACCGCGCAGTTGCGGAGGGCGCCTGGAGCCGCTCTGCGAGGCGCTCCTGGGCCTCCCGCAAGGCCTCGTCCCCGTCGTTGTCGGCGTCCCCTTAGCTGGGCGTCACGACTTTCTTTCGCCAGGGCCAGGGACAAGGGGATTGCTCCCCGTCGCGACTCTCTTTTCTTTTTCCTTTCGTCGCGACTCTCTTTCTTTCGACAGGGTTAGGGACAGGGGTTGCCCCCTGCCCGCACGACTCTTGCTTGCTTGCTTGCACGGCGTTTGGGGTAAATGGTTCCCCCCTACACCCCTGCGCTCACGCGCTACGCCACTGTCCAGTGTTTGAAGGTCGGCGTGAGACTCTCTCTCTCTCTCTCTCTCTCCCTCCCCCCCCCAAGACATCTCCCCATTTCATTCCCCCTTCCTGCCTTCCGCACCCTCCTTCTGAGCCTTGCCTCCCGCCAGTAGATCACCTCACTGCCAGGTCGCGCTGCCGACACGGAAGGCTCCGATCACAGCTGAGCATGCTGCTGAAGGTGGGTTTCTTCTTCGGAGACCGCCGAGGATCAAAACCCTGCACTGCTAGTAAGCTCAAGTGAACAAAAATCACGACAAAAGGAACGCTTCTAATTGCTCGTAATCTGCCTAACCTGAGCCGCCGCTGGCCTCGAACATGGTCTTCACTTCGCCCAGTGCCGTGGTCAGCTTGTCGATGTCTTTGACCAGCTTGCCCTGCACATGAAACTGCGTTGGGAACCGCCCTCTCTGCAGTTCTCCGACCTGATCTACGAACTCGGTCCTTCCTGCGAGCAAACGTAACGTGACAATTCAAGCCCGGGCCGTTGAGCAAACAACGCGCTGCCTGCCACTACCGCCCCAGAACGGTGTGCTCGCGTGAGGCCGAACATGGTCCCCCCTGCACGTACCTGGCCGAGGCTTATTTGTTGGCCTGCCCTGTATTCAAGGCGGCACGGGGGCGGCACGTTCTCAGATGAGGCTTTCGGAGATAGCCCATGCAGTGCACTATCAGACCTTGGAACCAGACACTAACATGGTACCACACAGAGGACCAAATTTGAAGCAAGCTGTTCTTTGGTAGGCCCTTCTGTAGTAGATTCCCAGGGCTGAGTGTCGAGCTTCGATTTTCGAAGCAGGGCCTCCGCGCAGGATCGCTTGTGCCACTGGGCGAAGTGTGTACAGGATAGCTGAACAGCTCAGGTTCTTACAGGGCCAGTGCTGGCCATGTCAGGCTTAAGGCTGGAAGCCTGCATGCGGCCCGTGCGGGCCAACAGTTTTTGAGTTACTTCCCTTCGCTCCGATCGGCCTGGAGCCTTGAGGGAGTCCCTCCCCAGCCATCCGTAAACACCCAGCCCTGTGGCCAGAAAACACAAGAAGAAGAGCATGGCTGCTTCAATTGGCAGCGGTAGCAGTGCCTCTGTGCCTGCTGGGGATGGGGTCGTCATACCTTGCCTTGGCTGATGCTGGAAACGGAAATTCTTTTGCACCGTTTGCTGGGGACGCTGCTTCGGCGTGCTGAAGTACATGGTCTGTGCATGAGATCTCAGTGCTGACACCTGGGCCAAAGCTTGTGCTGCCCACGCATAACGCAGATTCGATCATCTGAGCACGGAACTCCTGACAGAGGCCGAATCGTCGGCAGCCAACCAGCAGACTTCGACTCCGCAAGCGCAAGGGGCGAAGCCTTCGGTGCCTTCGGGCCTCGTCAACCATGTCAAAAGCTGCTTCCACTGTGTGGTTTTCAATATCTGAAGGCATCTGCTGTCGACTTCCTCCAAGGGAGGTGGCAGTTCCATCGCTAGGACCGCATCTCAGATTGCTTTCAGTCTTGAGTTTGCTAGGTAACAACGGTCCGCATCCACCCGTGGGGCAATTCTCATACTCTCCCGTTGCTCTGGAGTAGACTTTCAATTTTGTGTCCACACATGTCTGGGATCCACCTTGCCAGATATGCGAAAGACATTGATTGGCACCTGGCAAGTACATGCCACAACTGCATCGGCTAGTTTGCCACTGCGCTGCGACTTTCTTGTCTGCTCAGGCGAACAGGCTCGAAAATTTACGACATTACAAAGCAAACCGACACGTAAACGACCAAATAGACGGTGTACCGAGGTGCAAATCGTACTAGTGGCCGGGTGCTCCGTCACATCACCGAGGAGAGAGGGAGAGAGAGAAGCTAACCGGCGCTCCTACAATCCAAAAGAAACTAACCGGATGCATACTGCACAAAAAGGACCAGTGAACCTGCACTATCCCTGTCTACTTACCTATGCATCTCTCCTTTTTGCACGGAATTATGTTATCTCTTAACATGTCTGTGTATTTTTTTATTTATTTTTGTTTATGTATACGCATTTTTAATTTATGTATACGCATGTCTGAATGGGCACCAGTACGGTGAAGTGTTCGCCAGTCTTTCCCATAGCCAATGGTGACACATCACTGAGATTCCCGTGGCATTCAGGAAATCGTCGCCATGACTTTCTTTGCGAAGTAATCGAACTCCTGGTCTGCTCGGAGCCCGTGTTTCGGTGGATGCTGATACACGTGTAAGGATGTCTGCTGCACTGCGAAACTACTCTGGAGCTGTACGATGATCGCTCCTCGTACACAGGCGAAACACCAGTCTGGAGCTTCGAGAACATGAGCTTGCCGGTGTTGAGGTTCATGACCTTGGCAACTATCGTATTCTGGGGCAGCGCTGTTTCTTCAGGAGGGTGCCTCGAAAGCACCCTTTCGGTACTTGATCGTCGATCCTTCCGGCAGGAGCTCCTCAAGCACACTCTCAAGGTCTGTGCTGCAGGTGCATGCACCTTGCAACGGCATGTCCTTCAGGACCATGGGCTCGTTCAGCGCAACCCGCACCTGTACAAAACTGATAGATGAGTCGTCGTCTCCAAATCAAGGAGTACCCGTGCCACAACGGGCCTTAGGACCGAATGTCTTTTGAACCTTCCGGATGAAGTCCTCCACTTCCTGGCAGCCGACAGCTGGTGGGAGCTTGGTGCTCTTGAGTAAAGGCTGTGTCAGGCCTTGTTTCCTGGCTTGGGAAATGTGCTGAATGCCCTGCAGCAACAACCAAAGGGAGGGACACGAGCAGCCCTTCTGACAGGTGGCACATTGCACAGCCTCTTTGCCATTTCGGCTTCGATTTCGTCCTTCGGCCTTCTTCACGGCACAGCAAGCAGAGAAACAACACGAGGTGCCGCACGCCCGCGAAGAGAAAGGGCGACAGAGCGAGAGAAAGAGAGAGAGAGGGAGAGGGAGAGCACACCACGTGCCAAACCCGCAGGCTGAAGACCGGGCGCAACATCATACTCGAGATGGAGAAGGGTGACTCCCTCTGGGATCGTTGCCTTCCCACAATAAGACAGCTTGCAAATTATGAAAGTCTCGGCGGCTCTCAGGGTGCGGCAGGCCACTGCATGGGAACTCTAACTTTAGCTTGCTCGGCAGCTGTTTTCCGAGCCTTGGCTGCAAAAAAACGTCTCCAAGACATGACCAGGACAGAGGTTGGGCTTTACGGAACTCGTGGCATCGGCCGTTCATGTCCGCAGGAGTATCGTGAGGCGGTGGAGCAGAGTCGAGCACAACAGATGCAGGCCATACTGTTGTTGAATTCGCCTCCCCCCCCATTTCAGCCAAAGGCACCCACAGGCTCTACATCCCCTGCCCGAGCCTGCAATCCCTTCCGTTCCGTAGGCCCTCCTCTAAGGCGTCTTCTGATGGGCTGCCGAGGCGGACCAGAACGACAACAGGCGTGTGAAAGTCTACAATCGGAACTAACCGATAAGACCCGAATAAACTATACCAGATGCTTGTAGATATGGGAAATGTTTTGGTGCATATATACGAAATAGAGTCTTTCCGTCCAACCCAGCCAAGCCGCCAAAGATCGCTCCGCCTGCTTCGCCTTTGCCGATTTGAAGCTCGAACTCACAGGGCTCCTCTTCACCTGCGGATACGAAGATTGCTACAACCAGACCTGGTACGAACAATCGTGATGCTTACTATGATATCTGGTCACACTTGTAGAGTGGCAGTAAGACATGATAAATGTCATGATGACGGTGGTGAGTCAGTCACAATAGCAACAATACCAAGCAAAATAATAATAATAATAATAATAGTAACAACAAGAAGAATGACAATGGCGAGAGATTATGGAAACGATCGTGGACAACAAAACAACTCATGCCAACCACCTCAAGAACAGTGATGGATATACCGCTCGAGCTAATACTCATGGGCTTGCTCACATGCCAACGGACGCCACCTGCACAACTGCCGTGAAACACTACCTTATGTATGACATATACAAAACCTATATAATACCTTATAGGATACCCTGTGGAACCCGCTATAGAAAGCCCTATAAATGCCTATAAAGCATCCTATAGATAGGGATTTTGAATATGGAGAACCAGTCGGAGCCCAAGTTCTGATGAGAAGTCCCCAGTTGAATTGTAGCTTTTGGGTAAGGGACACCTATGAAGAAAATCAAGAACCAAGAAGAACAGCCTTACAACGACCTTGTAGAATGTCACCTCTACACACTTTACAGAACTTCATTCAGAATACCCGATAGCACACCTTCCGAAAAAGAGGCTACAGAATATCTTTTGTACAATACCTTATGGAGTACNNNNCTGGAACACCCTGTAGTAGAATACCTTACAGAAGACCGACTATGTAATATACCTTCTGCATACCTCAAATATACCTCATAGAATATCCTCTAGAATACATTTTAAGATACCCTTTAGAATACCTTATGCAACACCCTGTAGCATACCCTACAGATAAAGATTTAAATAAGGAAAATCAGGAGGAGCCCGCTGTTTAATAGCATCATATGCAGAGGACCTGAGACAATACTTCGTTGTATTCTCTTGGTTCGAACGGTGTTGTGTCGTCGTAGACAGGAAACACTTTGTCTCGTTTTGAACGGTTTTGTGTTGTTGTAATCAGGGAAGACTAGTCACTAGGCAATGATTAGGATCATTATCTTGGTTTGAACGGTGTTGTGTCGTCGTAGAGAGGGAAGACTAGGAAATACTTAGCATCATTGTCTAGGTTTGAGCATGTCTGCATCGTCGTGGACAGAGGATAATGAGCAATACTCACTAGCATTAACCTTGGTTTGAACGGCTGTGGGATACAAGACTTTTGTTCGGAGTGGAGTCGCAACGCAGTCTAAAAAGTGCAAGAAGAGGCTTCGAGGTAGGTTTTGGAGGGGGGGTAGCATATACATCCCTTTGGGGAACCCTATAAAATTCTACCCTTAATGCCGCTCCCTATAGTTTGAGAAGCCAAAAGGACGCCTAATTTTGACAACCATCGGCCAGTCTGAACTAGCCGGTGCAAGCACCGCGGTCTTCTCCAAGCAGGCATGATGGATTTCGTGAAACTGCGGACCCGACAAATTATCCCTATGTTCCGATCTTCCAGGGCTCTCATTTCCTCAATTTCTGGCTAAAGCCACTAGTGGCTCTCTGGATTCCCCTCAAGGAGGCACTGGGTTGTGCACAGCAAACCGGGCTTGGAAAGGTCGAAAAAACCAAGCTAGTGTGAAGTCAGAGCGTACAATTGTTTCTGCAGTCTTTGTTCTCGGGCTCTCGGGTTTCTTTGTTTCTCTCCTCAGTTCTTTCGATCAACGCCGCTGCTTCTTGCAATTCTGTCCGCACGTTTGAGGAACACACTCTCTTCTCTCGCAGGATATTGGGAGGGAGAGGGGCTTCGAGAAAAGGCTTCCTCGTATCTCCTGACGTGAAGAAGTAGAAACAGTGGCTGCAACATCCCATCGCAAAACAGACAACTCAAAGTAGCCACAAGTTCACAAGCCTGACGCGTGCTGGCTTCTGCGCGGCCCCGCAAGTCTCTTGGAATTACCTTTGGAAGAAAGCTGCGAGGAGCCCGTTACATCCTGCCGATGAAGCCCGTCACCAACTTGGTCTCAATCTGGCCTTCCTTACAACTTGCAAGCTGGTAGACACGCCAGCGACGGTGAAGTCACAACTAGCGCATGCATGGGTTCGCTTGCATTGCATCTGTTGTTCTGCTCACGACAGCCTGAAGCCATGCTGGCATGTATCGGGTACTCAGATTCCAGTAGGCATCGTGCACCATCATGTGCTACTCTCCGCGCACGATTGCAAGTCTGTCGGGGATCTCTGCGGATCTGCGCACGGCAATTGTTGTTGCACACCCTCTGCAGATGCTTGGGTGCCTTCAGATGGCAGCTCATGGGAGAGCCCCGGGGTGCACGGCAGGAGGCTCGAGGCTTCTCCTTTCCTGTCTTCTTCCGTCCATGCAGGAAGCAGGAAACATGTCAATACACCCCTCCCACCACACCCGCCCTTCCCACCCGCCACCCATGTGCTCGTTCGCTTCTCTCTTCTCTTGTTTCAGCACCTCGGAGCCCAGCCTTCCTCTTGCATGGCCCTTGAATGGACTGACCCATCGAGACTTGGACAGCTCCTGCACAGCAAGTCAAGACCAATTCCGGCGTCACATGTTGGACTGACACTGAGGTGTGAACTTCCAGCTTCCTGCAACGACAAGTGTAAACAGCACTGCTGGTCCGAGAGAAGATCCAGCTCGCCTCACCCTTGAGCAGAGTCATGGATGGGGAACCCGTGAAGGCCAAGCTCTTGGTCAAAGAAAGGCAGGCCACGATCGCAGCCCCCAATGCCTCGGAGGAAGACGGCGTTGCGCTCCATGGGAAGACCATACTCAGGCTCCCGGCCAGCAAGGGCGCTGCCACTCGGTGGCTCCTGGCCCTCATCATGGCGCTACCGCTGACACCTTAGCCATCATCACAGGATCGCCGGCAAAAAGATGTGCTTCCTCTGCTTTCCGGGAGAATGGGGCGTCTTGGCGATGTGTGAAGGACAATCCTTGCAAGTTGTGCCCTGCATGGAGGATCGCAGCATCTCCTGTTGCTGTGTCTATCATATTGCCATCATATTGCAACAGGCCAAGATCAATTCCTGGTGATTGGCCATGCTGATCCGATTAGTGGCAGGCTTTCCGAGTGCTTAAAATGCTCACAGCAGACAGGGCTATCAATGCGACGGGAGACTGCTCAAACCAATCTGGGGACGCTGCTGGATGGTGCCACGGAGCAGTGCCACTTGAGCTGAAGTGCGGCCGGCGAGGATCAGAAAAGGTCGGATCTGTAAGACGACCAACAAGCAGGCCGACATGATCATGGTCGGTTTCTGCTTTCACCTCTTAGCTGCAGATGGCGTCGTGCCGGCTGCGGGGCTCAAGCCCGCTCGTGCAAGAGCTCCGCTCAGCCTTGAAGGAGACTCCACAGGCCAAGACTCTGCAAACCCCGGTTACATCAAATGCTTCCCATGCACCAGTAGGAACAGACACGAAGACCCCGTGCAGAGCTAATGCAAATGGCGCATAGTGCTTTCCCATGCTTCGCAACAGCCAGCAAAGCAGGGTTGTCAGACATCATGATACAGCAAAACGGCTGTGGGAATATGGCTAGGACTTGTAGGCTACGCAGACTGTCATAGTAACAACAGGCCGACTGGACAGCCACTGTTCCCCAAGCCGCCGCCAGAGTCACAGACAAATTCCGTGACGAATTTCGCTACCAGGTCCGTGCCACCTCTTTGCAGCCTCTCTTTCAGAAACTGTAACATGTAGTGCAGGATTAGGTTACGCAGGCCCACGTCCTAAGAGGACCCTCTGCAAAGATTGCAGGCCTGGGAATCAGATGACTGACCTTGTCATTCAGTTGCATCCCTCACTCTTTCTTCTCGAAGCTCACGAACATTTTCGGGCGCCTCCCTGTGAGCAACGACTGCTGGTCGAATTGGTCCATGTGATCACCATGTTGCATGTCGTGAGACCCAGAGACGGATTGGCTCGAGATCTCGGGCAGGAAATGATCCGATTGGTGCGCGGCTGCGTCGGGGAAGAAGGCCGTGAAGCTGGATGCCAGACCACACGCATGCGCGCTGCCCTCGTGAGTGTCTGAAAGGCACGTTGCGTTGTGGTGGCTGTTCTGGCCAGTCAAGTCTGCCAGCAGGTTGCTCAAAGGCCCAGCAGACACCACACGGCAAGCGCAAGCAACCAGCGCAACAGCAAAGGCTTTGCAGGCGGCCATGGCACTTTGCAAGCA